ATAGAAATTTTATTGTTATTGTCATGCTAAAGGTGATGGGTAGTAATTTTGAATAAAAATGTCCAAACTAAGCTTTTATACAAGTTTTCTTTCGAAAAGTCTTCTATATTCATAAGAATTAGACATCATTTGAATTAAAACATCTTACATTCAGTAAAATATATGTGAAATTACAATACGTTGTTAATAAGTTTCCATGGGAGATAACCTAAAACACTATTCTTTTGAATGTAGAAGACTTTTCGAAAGAAAAATTGATTATCTCCCATGGAAACTTACTTAACACGTATTGTAATTTCACACATATTTTACTGAATATAGGGATGATCTGTGTTTTAACCGTTAATCCTCCAAAACACCCGTTACCGAGATATAGACATAATTAGGTAATACCATGAACACAGTAGGTATAGTGTCCGGCTGGGATCGTGTTTTTTCGAATAAAAATGATCAAAAATGTAAAAACAGAGAGACTTCCTTTTTTTGTAAGACGTGAAATAGATGTTTTAACTTAATATGCAATATCTTCCAAGGTAAGTTAGTATTGGTGATAAAAAGAAATCATCACCCCTACATTATTTTATGTTCTAAAAGTTTAATTTAGCTTTACAATGCTTTTATTCCAAAATATAGAATAAAGCTATTTTCATATAAGTACAAATGCAAATGTCAAAGGAAATGTATATTCGTAATCTATATATCCTTAGATATACAGACACTTTATAAACATTCTTGTCAGTGCATTGAGATGGACATTTTTAGATTAAATTAATTTTTGTATCTCCGTGTTTTTTCTAGAGCAGTCCGGTATCTTTGAGTGCGGTCTAGGTTTTGATCGAGTGATTAAACAAAATTTCAATGGCTTAAAATGTTATATGTCAGTGCGATTACGTTTAAAAAACAATGAAAAAGGTTCAAATAAAGTACTTTTCAAAACATTTAACCAGTTTGTTGATACTGTTGTACGTAATACGTACATTTGTAAAAGCATCATATATTTGTATATATTATTGTTTGCCACATCTTATAAATTGTATGGACACCGACATTGATATATTTGGATAGATCAAACATGTCCACGCCCATGTGAATATGGTGGAACTATCCAACAAGTCAACGCTCATGTACACATGTTGTTACGACCCAAACATACGTTTATCGATGTCGACTCAACCAAATGTGGATATCATATGGGTCTCTTGTGCAGAGTTGTCCCATTGGCATTCATACCACTTCTCCTTTTTATATCATACAATAAATATTCGTGTTGTAAACAATATCAATGTGAGCACAGACATATATATTTAAAGAAAAGACAATGTGTTATGAATGCCATTGAGATAACTATCTACAAGAGTTCAAATGACGAAAGATAAAAGTAGATATAGGTTACCGTACGGCCTTCAACAATTAGAAAACCTTATACCGTATAGTCAGCTCTAACAGACCCCAACATGAAAAAATTGAAACAATTAAAACGAGAAAACTAACGATCTAAGTTATACAATACAAAGTACGAAAAAAAAGCAATTATGACGGACATGAATCAACGAAAACCAATGAATTACAGGCTCTTGGCTTGGGACAGGCATGTTAAGATTGGGACGGGGTTAAATATGTTTGTAAGTCCTCAACCCTCCTTCTAACTTTCGACAGTGGTGTTACAAAATAAGAGCAAACTGTAAAAATCAGTTACAAATGTCTATACTTAATAGATCGGTACGAAGCACAAACAAAACCAACTAACATAAAAACAATAAATACAAAGTATCGATATAAGAGTACTCGCGGTTACTGAGAGCTAACTCAAAGACAATTACAACTAATAAATAAATCTTTTTTTCACAGACTAAAGTATCAAGCAGTACAATATTGGATTGAGACGTACGTACATTGTGTGTGTTAAGCGGGTATGTGTATTTTTTTAACGGAAAATACATCCTAGATATTTCATTTACTATTTGTCTTGATGATAATTTGTTTTATCGTTCTATGAATAAAAAACAAGAACAATATTCAAATGCTACTACTGTGGTGAGCAGTATGATCAAGCGTATGTTATACTTGGTCACACAGCAATAAAACACCATGGTAGCTTCTTTTCCATTAGTTAGCAGTGTTTAAAAAAAATTAGTTAAAAAAAAAACAAACGGATCTCTTTCTAGACATTACAATTACCACTGAATATCTACGGAACTCTGCAAAAGGTATATTGCATTTTACTGAATTTATAACTTCCAGGTTTCCCCGCTGTGATATATATAAATCATAAACTATTATTTACTGTAAACATATTGTAGCATGAAATGATATTGAAAAGATTGTGAGTCCCCTGTTCTCGGTTCTAAAGGCAGTTTTACAAAGAATCCAGTAATTTCTAATATATCTTAATACTGCTAGGTTATGATAAATTGTTTTCAGAACAAAAAATTATCATTAAATTGAAAAGGGTTAGATTCGATCAACATAGTAATGTTTTGTAAATAATTACGAATATATAATATTGCCCTTCACTAAATTACAGATACAAACTAGAAAAAGTTAGTTTTTAAGCCCAAGAATGCCTTCTTTCTTATTCACATTTTCTTTGAAAAACCCGGACCATTTATTTAAAAACCAGGACGTTTTACATGTTGCTCTCGAAAAAACTCGGACAATGTAAAACACTGAACTGTTAGTGAACTACAAGGAAAATATGCGTCGTTTGTGCTCAAAACATGTTTAGTATTCAGAATTAGAATATAGTAAAGTGCTCTCGACCAATGAAATTGTAGGATTTGGTGTTTCTTAATTGTGAATAATGAATGAAATCATGTTCTTAGTAAGGAATTATCCTATTTTGTTAGGCCTACTTACAGTTCAAAACAAATAGTTTCTATAAATGAGTTACAAATGCCCCGAAGCACATTTATCAGCTTGAAAGCATTTGTGATTGAAACTGACTAAAAGTTGAATTTTAGGATTTATCCCTCCCCAAGACAAGATACTTGTATCTACGTTCGCCATTCTTTTTAATGAAACAAAGTAATACCAACTCTTTCAATTTGTCTTTTAGTTTGGAATGGGGAATACTTGTGTAAAGTGTAGAAAAGTCAAATGTTTTAATACTATTGCAAGATGAGAGAGTCTTAGATTGTATGTACTCCTGAAAGATCTTTGGAATTTTTTAGTATCCACATCTGATTCACTCCACCTCTAGAATAGGCAGTTTCACAATAACTTTGGAGCCCGGCTTTGATTGCTGATAAAATAGATGTTAATAATTTAGAAAGAGGTTTCGTGGAGCACTTGGAAGACCCAGCAATATACCGTTGTTTGTAAGGACACTTATGTAGTTTAGGTATCCAATACAGTGATGGAAGATCCAGTTCTTCATCTTTGGTTGAAATTCCAAAGGAACATAGAACAGACCTATGATTATCCAGGATTTCCTCTTTGGTAAGTGTCGTGAGGGTATATGTTGAGCTTTCAAATGAATTGTCAATACCTAATTCATTTATCAAGCAGTTTATGTAATGATATTTACACACAAAAACGATGTTGTTTGGGACAAGTTATTCTTTCTTATAGTATGTTTTTTAATAAAATGCATAGGTATACATTTCTAGATATTTTCTTTGTTTATTTTCTCAATAGATTTTTTTTTAATATATCTTATGTTCAAAGTATTTAAATCTATGATGTGCAAATAACAACTCGACACATAACAGAAAAATTATTACAAATAGAATAATACAAGTGCACGCATTGAGATGTCTCGCTTGTTCATTAATCATAATTAAATTTGATGTTGAAAGTCTTTAAGATAGAATAAAGAATGGAAACGGGGAATGTGCCAAAGAGACAACTACCCGACGACAGAGCAGAAAATCCTAAGGCCACCAACAGTTCTCCAACACAGGGGGAAAATCTCGCACCTGGAGGCGGGATTCAGCTGGCCCAAAACAATAATGTATCGCTTAACCTTAATACTTTCAAGATCTATTGAAATAAGATCAAGGTCATTTGAACGCTGACTGACGGACATGTACCACTAACAATCATACATAAAGGCAACAGTAGTATACCGCTGTTCAAAAGTCATAAATCGATTGAGTGAAAACAAATCCGGCTTACAAACTAAAACCGAAGGAAACACATCAACAATACACCAAATATATTTGACCTACAGCTAAAAGTATTTGAGAAACAGACTTAATTACGAAAACTTAACATTGACCATTGAAGGATGAATATAACGTCAAGGTCCGATGAACCCCACAAGACGGACATGTGTACCTTATATTAACTCCTTACAGCAAATATAGTAGACCACAGACAGAAACACAACATTAAAATGTAACACACACAGAAACGAACTATAATGTAACAATGGCCATTTTCCTGACTTGGTACAGGACATTTTAAGAAAAAAATGGTGGGTTGAATCTGGTTTTGTGGCATGCCAAACCTCCCGCTTTTATGGCAACGTCAAACACAACACCAAAACGACAACATCACATGACAGGACCACAATACAAATAAATGGGAGAACATATAGGACAAAGCAACACACGAATAATAGCTAGCAGAAGGTACTAGGCTTAAAATTCAATACGCCAGACGTGCGTCTCGTCCACACAAGACCAACCAGTGACGCTCAGATAAAAAAAGTTTGAAAGCCAAAACAAGTACCTTGTATAAATCTACTAAATTAATTTTTTTCAAAGTTGCTTTATCATTGTCCTGTGGCTTCTGATGTTCAAAACGTTTTAAACGTTGCATTTCCCCTGAACTACTTATTTCCCCGAAAGGAATCAAAATGCATTGCCTTAAACCAAGCCACATGCATACTTAAAAACAAACGACAAAGTAAAATTGTAAAATATGTCTAAAACACGAAATTTATGTAATTTTCAGTATAGATATAAAACACAGACTTGCAGCAGATGTCTCAATTCAAACCCACATCCATATGTTGTTACGCTAGAAAAATGTTTAGTATTTCAATACATAATTACCTGCTTATGCCGTGTATACCACTGGCTCCTCGTTCTAAACATTTCGCCCTTAATTCTGTGATATGGTCAGCCATTTGTATAAAATTAGGAGATGTGATGTGATGTGATTACGGATGAAACAACTACCCAACAGAGTCCAAATAACGTTGATTTAAGCAACTATGGGTCACCTTACAGCTTTCAACAATGAGCAAACTACGGATAATCTGTGTTTTTAACCGGTTATTATAGGAATAACCCACATTTCCAAGAAACATACATATATAGGTAAATAGGTAAAGTGATTCCTTGAAATAAATGTTTATGATCAATAAAAATAGACCGGTTCGTTTCGAAGAAATGTCTTTTGATTTCGTGGCGTATTTTTGTCATTCTTTTGTTTAAAACGCGGTCTAGGTTAACACAGTTATTTTTATTATGAATTATCTGATACTAGTAGCTGTTTTTTGTTTTTGTGCGTATTATTGTTATCAGACTTCTATTTATGATGCGTAATTAACGACACCTTACAGACATAATGAAACTGAAAAACCGGCTATGGGTACTTTGCAGGATATATTGTAAAGGAATACTATATGTAGTGGGATGTCATAGATATCAAAATATAATTTCAAAAATATGATAATTAAGAATCATTCGGTTCTTATGGGTCAAGATTCTGTGCATTGAAAAAATAAGATATTTTTGATAAAATATAAACGGATTACATAACTATACAATTATTCATATGTGTATGCTTCTGGATAAGTTTTTCATTCGATAGCATTTATTACACAACGCAATTTAAATGTAAAAAGTCAGCATTGATTTCAAACTGTCATGTCTGAATACAACATGAAATATCATCCCGTTCGGTCCTTTCCGTAAAATATACCGATTGCTCTGAATAGTGAACTGATAAAAAAAGACATTAGGTTTCAACTCCCACAGGCAAAGTTGACCTTAGATCGATTTGATTATTTTGTTAGGTCCTATAGCTCTACAACTGGTTCGGTCCTTATACATCCTTGGCTTTCAAACATTCGGCATTGAGAGTTCCTGATCAAGTTAAATCCAGAAAAGCGCTTCGGACACATGAAATTTGTAAAGTTTAATTTTCATTTTGTATTGCACTTGGTCGATACCGCTGCTGGTGAAAAATCAGTCCCTGATGGTATCATCAGCTTAGTTGTCAGAACTACGATATACTGACATGATTTGTAACAAACTGTTCTAAAATTGTTCGTTTACAAATTTAGGTCTCAACTCTGAGGTTGACCTCAGATGGAGTTTGCTGTTTTTAGGTCCTTTTTGGTCATATAGCTCTTCAACTGATACGGTTCTTAGTTTAAACAATATTTATTCAAATAAACCAATACATAGTATATAATTCTGATACATGAAGCAATTAAATAGGAGGTATCATTGTTTTAGGTATAGACATAAAACCTCCGGTGTGCAGCAAATTTATCAATTCTAATTTTTATTATTATGTGTTGCTACGCTAGAAAAATGTTGAAAATTTAAATACTTAAGTACCTTGTTATGCCGTGTATACCACTGGCTCCTAAATATTATAAACATTTCGCCTTTAGTATTGTGAGTTGGACAGGCATTTTTTTGCATGAAACTACGGATGATTTGTGCTTTAAATGGTAATTGTACGAAACACCGTTACCGAGATATAGACATATATAGGTAATTTGTTTTCCTTTAAATAAATGACTATGAACAAAAGAAGTAGACGCTTCGTTCGAAACGACGAAATTTAAAGGGAATTTATATGAATAACCTATTCATTGAGACGTATTGTGACAAGTTATTCTTTTTTATAGTTTGTTCTTTTATAAAATGAATAGATATACATTTCTAGATATTTTCTCAATAAACTTTTCTTAGAAAAATATATCTTGTTTTCAGAATATTTGACATCTGTCCAGGAAGTTTACCTCCTTTAAATCTTAGATGTGCATATTACAATTCCACGCATTTAATTAGTATAAATAAAATAATACGAGTGTTAGCTTAATAGCTTTCTGTGTGGTTTTTGTTTTTCTCATTGTTGAAGGCAATCGAACCTGATGAAGGTATTCAAGAAACACATGTCGCGTGAATGCACACAAATCTCAATCTGGCTACATAAATTTCTTACAAATCCAGTTACTAAATGTGCCAATGAAATTGAAAAAGTGACTTGCATCGTTTAAAGTTATAGTTTCCCTTTTTGGTCCTATGTCTTTGTTCTTTGTCCGTTATTTGATCTATAGTTGTTAACATCTACGTCGTTTGATCTCTGGTGGATAGCTTTCTCATTGGTAATCATACCTCATCTCCTTATTGATATTTACCCAAAGCGATATTTTACAAGCATAAACATCTTTGTATAAGACATCATGTAGCAAAATATATGTTTAGGTCAGGTATTGGTTCATACCTAAATGTAAAAGACATGACCTTAAAATGGGGCTTTTATCGCAGTTCTGCATAAAATGCTTGAAGTTTAAAGCAGAAATGCAAATATTTAAGAGACAATCGAAGATATCTTTTAGACAAATATCGTCTAAGGATCTGAAGGATGTTATTTGATATTCATATTGTACTTTTATTTTCGATTTAAAGAAGACAAAACAAGACCTTTTCTCTGGTTGAAGCACTCTTTTTTGTTGGAGGTATCCCAACCGTTTTGCCATTTTTGGTGAAATTAAGAATGTAAGCATTAGTCATTTATATTTTTTTTTCTAAATTATAACATCCAAAAAATGAATAATAATTCTAAATAAACCTATTACAAAATCTATTATGTGAATTTAACACCTTGACGCATAGCAGACAAACTAGTGTAAAGAAAACAATATAAAATGAACATAACACTTCATAAATGAAGTGCTTTCTAAAAGCTGTGGTGTTTATAAGTTAAAGATAAAGTTAAAGGATCAGAAACGTTGGACAGAAATCAGTATAATTTGTTCATGGAGACATCAGATCTATGTCAAATGATACTAACAAGACATAAATGTATACTGATATCTCAATTAACCACATACAGCTGTTAACTAGTATGAATCTACTTAAATTTCTTTTTTTCAACGCCGCTTTATCCTTGTCCTTTGGATAATGAAATAACATGTTTAACTTTATAATACACGTGTTTCCCACTTGCTCCTCATTCTAAACATGTTGCCCTTCATTCCATTTTTTACATGCAACTACGAATAATCTATGTTTTTATGTCAAAAATTCTTTGAATTGCTCACGTTTAAAAGATACAGCCTTTCAAAGGTAAATTAGTTCCTTGAAATAAATATCTTTGATCAATAAAAATAGACCGGTTCGTCCGAAACGACGTAAAATTTAAAAGAATATATAAATTGCTTATTCATTTGGACTTATGAAGACAATAAATTCTTTATAATGTTTTGTTCTCTCTTCACAGTGGGGGTTTATTTTGAAGTCTATTCATAGCCATAATGGAACATGAAATAACAATGACAAATGTCATAATATCATAATTTAAAAAGTAAATGCAATAATATGGAGTACTAACTTAATCAGATGTTTATATAACTATATACATGTGATGGAGATTTCAAATAAGATGTATTAGTTTATTTTATATTGTCAGCTGCACTGAAAATGTTTTGCCATGGCAAGGAAGAATATGGATTTAGGGTGGACATACAAAAATAAAATATTTGATCTTGACCTTTTATTTGACCTAAAGGTCAAAGGTCAAGCTCATCATCCATGGTACGCGACACATTATATTGATGGGCTGTACTGATGTGTCTAATATCCAAAAGCACATAGCCAAGAAGAAAAAAGTTGTGTTCCGGATTCGAAAATGTAAAAGGTAATGTCATTTGACGGTCATGATGACATTAAACACACCGTCTTTATACACCTTCATGCAAAATATCATAAGCCAATGTCAAAAGATAAAAAAAGTTTTCAGGTTTAAAAAGACGTGAAAAAAAGTATAAGAAAATCACACATTTCAATTCCGTTGCCATAGCAATAGTGTAAAAGAGTCCAGTATAAAAATCACAGAATTTGTATCACATATGTTAATCTTTGCATAGATATAAGAAGATGTGGTATGAGTGCCAATGAGACAACTCTCCATCCAAGTCAAAATTTATAAAAGTTAACCAATATAGGTCAAAGTACGGTCTTCAACACGGAGCCTTGGCTCACTACGAACAGCAAGCTATAGAGAGCCCCAAAAATTACTAGTATAAAACCATTCAAACGGGAAAACCAACGGTCTAATCTATATAAAAAACGAGACACGAGAAACACTTATGAACCACATCAACAAACAACAACTACTGAACATCAAATTCCTGACTTAGGACAGGTGCAAACAATTGCAGCGGGTTTAAACGTTTTAATGGTACCAAACCTTCACCTTATCTGAAACAATAGTGTAACATCACAACATAGAAAGACACACTATAAAATATCTATTGAAATGGCTTAACTCAATCAAAAGACATATTAACACCAGTGAACATATATATTTAATACATTACAAAAATCGAGTACTTTAAAAGATTTCATGTCGTTTTGTTGATCTTTTCAACAAGTATCCAGAAAATGCAAAAAAATGTACTTTTATAACTGTCAGCCCCGAAATATAGGGATCCTCAAACTATTATATTTTGTCAAGTTTCGAAGGACGAATAATGCTTGTGGTAAAAACAATTCAAATACCAGCTGAACATAACCATATCTAGCATATTCAGAGTAACAGAAATGTGACATTTGAGTAGATTTTTTTTTAATTATTCTTTTTCCAGTACGTAGATGACGCTGCAAAGTCTAGCAAAATAGCATCAGATCAAATTTCTTGTTAGAATTTGGTTTTCTTTTGACTGTTCATAACATACATGCATAGGCAAAATTTCATTACATTTGTTTGACATGTCATGTGGACCCACTCATTTTTACTAGTTTTGCATGGTTCTATCAAGACTGAGTGTCAAAAACAAACTTTAAAGTACTAGTATCTATAACGCAAGAGTGTATGAAATGCAACTGTATTCAATTTTCAGTATAGATATAAAAAAAAACATTTCAATACTTTTACCTGCTTATGTCTTGTATACCATTGGGTCCTCGTTCTAAAATTTTGGCCCTTAATTCCATGAGAAGGTCAGCCATTTTAACATGTAACAACATATGACATGTATTTTAACCGGAAATTCTGCAAATTACTGAAATTTCAAAGATACAGGTGGCGCTCGATTG